GGGTGGGGGGCCTCTTGTGGCAGCCCTGAGCCCCAGCCAGGGTGTCCCTATGAGTCCTCAACTTCATTTTCCACCTGCCAGTGTGCCCTTGTGCTCCTCTGGGTTTGTGGAGCTCGGCTGATTCCTCCTGTGATGGGCCAGGGAGTAGCTGGGGCAGGGTGTTATTCAGGTTCTCCCACCTGCCATCCCCTCTGTGCTGCTTTGTGTATGCTTTTTATCACTTTCCCCAACAAATGACTGTTATTTTTGTTAAGTTGTGGGGGTTTGTGGTTTTTTTGTTTGTTTGTTTGTGTTGGGTTTTTTTTGGTGGTGTTTTTTTTTTTAATCTAACCATAGCTGACACTTCTTAAAAAATCTCCAGCTAGTGGAGAAGGCAGCAGCATGATTCCTTAGCGGCACAGGTTGCCAAGAGCATATTAAATCCTGTCTTCTGCTCTGTTCTCTGGCTTTTCATGGCACATTGGGCAAATTGATTGGATTTGGCCAGTAGGGAGTAAATTACAGAAAGTCAGTCATGGATGTACAGTGCCAACTATCTTTGTTTAGATGGGTTCAAGTACCATTGCATCTGCATGTGTACCTCTCCCCCCTAAAAGACAGGCAGATGAATAGCTCTCCAGCCATTTTTATTTTCATTATTCAATACCTTTAGTGATGAATAGCTACCTAGGGCTGACAGAAAAGCCTGAACAGGCTGTGCTTGCAGAAAGGCACAGTGCACCACAAACAACTGGCTGTGATCAGCATTGGCTCCAGTTCACTCGCCTACACTTTCCTGTGAGCTAATTTCCCTAAGTACAGCACATGCACCTACCAGGGAGCTCTGCAGAGCCACATCCCAACAGATTGCCCACCAGTCTTCACCCTGAACATGCCTGTTCCAGCAACTTCATCCAAATACAAGAAAGCTATAGAAAAATATCAGGCCAAATTTTTTTTCACTGCAGCTTCTCTATGCATACACAAGGGTGGTCTTGCCTTAGGTGGGATTTATTAGGTCAGCTGGCAGTTCTCCAAAGTAATGCAACAGCATCCTAAAGGAAGGGCACAGATGAAGAGCCTATCTGCACCACTGGGCAATCCAGCTGGCAATAAACCACAAGGAAAGATTAGTCATAATAAGATAAAGTATCAAGGTTATAGCATAGCTTTCAAACCAAAAAAGCAGGTCTTTTTACACAGAACAGAAAAGATTCTCAGCTGAAGTAATCAATGCAGTTTCCATTATCAGATTAAATTAAAGGCAAGTAGATGAAAGGAAGATACTAGTTTACCAGGACCAAAAACTGCAGATGGATTGCTCAAAATTGAGTGGAAGTAAGTTAAAACAGCTGAGGAAATTCAACACAGATAAAAGTAAAATGATACATATGAAGAAAACATTTTCTTGAACTGTCATTGTAATTTCTACTTTTACATTGACTGCTGCCAATTAGGAATGAGACTTCAAGGTTATCTGTATTTTAAGATCCATAGAAACACATTGGTCAGAAGCACCGAAGAAAAATCAACATTAGGAAGCAGAGAACAAATGGAAGTCATAATGTTGTGGTTATATGAGAGTGATGACTTTCAACACTGTGTGCAGTTCTGGTCTCCTTGCCTGACAGAGACAAAACTGAAAGAAGCAACAGGGACAATCCAATTTATGGATTCTTGGAGATGGAACATGACCCAAAAGGGCAGACTACATAGATTAGGACTCTTAATCCAGATTATAGCCATCAATATAACTATGGTTGGCAACATGAGTGCGCCTTCTCTTTGTTTGTGTGAACTACTGGCCACTTTTTTGCAAGGGCAAGATTTTTTTAAACACAATTTATCTAAAAGCACACAGGCCACATAGTGCAGGGATGTTTCTGGTATTACCTTGTCACCTTCTCAGCAGTTTCTTGAGTGATCCCACAGGAGCTGCCTTCTCGTGCTGGTACCAGCCGTTGCCAGTGCAGGAAACAACTGTCAAACATGTGGGTTGGCTTCCACTTGTTCAGTATTTGGTCTGTGCATTGTTGCAGAACTGTGTCTCCTCTCCCTTAGTGCTCCAAACAGCACATTTAAAAATGATCCAGCCACATTCCAGTTAGGAAATACTCTTGTCAGACAGGTAATAATGTGTTGTTTTCTAGAAGCTTTACATCCTTGATGTGCTAATTCTCCTTTGTCCTGCTGATCTTTGTGATTTCTGCTTGGTAATGGCATCCTTTCAGACCATTTTGGGCCACAGTAAAATCCACGAGTAGATCCACGAGAATGCCAGGTACCAGCAAAACCTGCTTTGCATACTTTCTTGTCAGTCTGGTGGGACCATTTTGTGTGCCAAGGGCTTGTAACATGTCAGTATTATACTATTACTTAATACTTTTAATGGAAGAAAATGCATCTGGATACAACTCTCAGTCTGGCACTGTTCTGTAACTACAAAAGCATTAAATCATGGTTTTGAGATCTCATCCTGCTATTGTTTCTAAAGTAGTTTTTTGCACAGCTATATTTATATACTTACCTTCCATCTTCTCTTCTACTTTTATTGAACTTACTTCTACTTTTGATCCCTGGTTACCAAGATCATGCCAGTGCATTTGCTTTCTCTGTTATGTTCAGATTATCTGTGGAGTTACTGGCACAGAGTTAGGTTTTTCAGTTTTGCTTGTGAATAAATTCCTAAAAAAATAAGTTGTCTGCCTGTATTTTTAAGCCCCAGTTGAGTCCATGCAAATGCAGAGTCCTTGCACAGGGACAGAGCATGCTGGATGTCACTGGGATGGAACAAGTAATCCCAGCCAGACCAGTCTGACAACTGGAGAGCTACTGAGCATCCCTGCACTGCCCTTTTGAAGGCTTTATATTCCAAGAGCTTTGTCAGCTTGTGAGCAATAAGGCACAAACGCACAGAGCAAGTCTTAATCTAATGCTGAATATGAGTCACTAAGCCCTTTCAGAAAACATGCATCTATCAGTACAGCATCAGGCTGTAACATTTGCAAAACCCACAGGCTTTTCCTCCCATGAATTACCCAAGAAGTGTCTGCATTTCAATGTTCAGTGTAAATCCAGCATGAGGACTTACCTTTCTGGATGGAGGCTGGGATATACTCACTAGAATACAAAAGTCAAGTTCGAAAAAAGCACACACACAAAAATTACAGAAAAGAAAACAGAAGAAACAATGTGGATTTTTTCAGTCTGAGTAAATAGAAAAGTTCAGCTGCTGACAAGATCATGCCGAAGGGGTGCAAATGCTGCATTTTGTCTTTTGAGACTGGTTGGCTTTAGGAAGATGAGGGGGTTGCCAAACTCCACAGGAATGACAGTTCTTAGAGATCATGTTCGTCTTCATGAGGCTAAGGCACTTAATTGCAACATACTGACCAAATCTGCCAGGGGAAACCATACCTCGTTCAACAGAGTGCTGCCTTAGTGGTCATCTGCTGCAGTTGTTCTCCCCTCTGCAAATCCTTTTTCTTCATCAGTAGTTGTGACTTTGACCACCTTGTTGTCCCCCTCTCCTAGAAATGTCTCTTGCTTTCTTTGACTACATGCATTAATGCCTTTCCTTAACCTGTAGTGCTAAAATTCAACTTTTCTATAGGAGTAATGCCAGCTGACTTTAACTAGCTTCAGGAAGGAGATTAACACAGACACAAAGCATTTAAGCAATGATTTTCTTACCTCAAATTTTGAGAAATACATAAAATAATTTCACCCAAAAAGAAGTAGGCTGGGAATGTATTCCTGAATTTATTTGGGATAAAAGTCTAATAGAAATATTTTGAAAGTGTTAGCATAAATGATGGACAATTTTCATGCTCTTTTTCTGATATTAAAAATTAGTTTAAATTTTCCAGCTATGGAAAAATAATTTGTTGGGCAAGTCAACATTTACCCTCTTCCTTCTTCTTAGTTTTCTGTCAGGTAAGAGGAAGAGCATAAGGATCATTGTATGTCAGCCCAATCTACTGCTTGATAATGTAGTCTGAATTGGATTCCTCATTTGACACTCTCACACTCTCCCACGTTATTTCCTCAGGGAAGTACAATGCTATATATCCAAATATACCAAATAAATGTATCCAAGGAGACTCAGCCTTTCAAGACCACTATTGACCCTGACTGCTGATGGATCTTTATCCACTTCCTGAATGATGTGTCTTCAGTAGTAAGCAAGACACACAACTTTTTGCTATCTGGTCCTCACTTATCTCCTGTTTGTCAACTGCAAATACGGGTACCTGGAAACAGCTCGGTGCTGTTATGTAAGAAATCAAAGCTATGACAGGTTTCTTTTGTTTTGACCTAATGGGTATTTTTCTTACCTAACAGAAAACCCCACAAACAGTTCAGGTGATGCTGCTATTTTTGAGAAGCTGAGGATTCAAACATAATAGTGGGCCAAAGGAAGTGCTGGGCCATCTTAGTCTGGCATCTGCTTTCCAAAGTAAGATGTCCCACTGAATTCTCAACTCTTGGACATAGTTCCTGCCCTGCAAGTGCTAGCAGAGGTGTCAGCCTGAAGAACATTCCTGAGCATGACTTGAGGAAGGCCCTGAACACTTCTGCCATACAAAGGCAATGAGGCTGGAACACGTGGTCCCAACACTGACAGACCCGGAATCAAGACAACTGAAGGAAAAGGTGGATCCAGTCACTATACTGGGCACTTCTATGGTCAGTGCAGCATGTGCACACTGCCTGTGGCGTGAATACCATCTTCACTGCGCATGAGGCAAGCAGCAGGTCTTCTGGACTGAGATATGTCAAAGACAACCTTTAGCACTTGGTGCAGAGGAGGAAGCTGGGGAGGACAAAAACAGAACCTGCAGGGTGATTCCAGTTGCATATTGTCCTTAAGCAGTCTACATGTTGCAGTATGTTTTAAGTGCAACCCCTTGGCTCAAGTATCAAAATGGCTAAAGATTCTGTGGTAATTACTAATCTCTGGAGTCATACAGATCTGTAATAACTACCTACAGATCAAAGAGATTTAATATTTAGCATATTTTAATATCAATACAGAATTAATGTTGTAATTTCCGTAATTTAGTATTGAAATCAGTATCTGGCCAGTCTATTCTACTTATCTGACTGAATACAGCCAATTTTTGCGTCATGTTTCACACCCAGGTGTACAATCAGGATTTTGGTACCAGATAGCCAGGATGCGAAAGTTGCTGTATGATTTTTAGGTCATTGTAGGATTATCCCAGCTGGATGAATGGGACTCGGAAGGCCCACTGCAAGTGATCATTCCCACGAATAGGTGCTGAAGCAAATCCTGGAAAAAGAAGAAAACTACAAATGTTGGAATACCAACCTTATCTTCAGTCACTGCTGGCATTGCTGCTTCTTGTTAAGCTAAAACCGTATCTATTGAACTAAAAATAGTGAAAATATTCCTTAGAATGTTTCCATTTGCAAATATCAGTCCTTGAACCAAAGTAACCACATACTTGAAAATCCCTTTGTCCTTGATTTCTTTTCTGAAGCTTCCAACCGTCCCTGCAACTATGAGTTAGGAGTGTTAAAATAAAAAAGTAATTTGAATTTATCTATTTATATCACGTCTATTCATTTATATTACAACAAACAAGAAAAATTCTTCAGATTTTAGGCTTGATAATTGAGGCATAGTTGTAATAAAGAATTATTGTACTGCCCCAGAGTTACCTCTCTAACACACAGCTCTGGCTTTCAGCATTAACAAAGGCCGGGCTGTGAGCATCTTTCAGAAACTGCAAAGCTTATTTTCTTGCATAAAAATTTGAACACTGGGCAGAGAGAATTACAAAAGACAGTAGAGTGGCTAAAGCAGTTTATATAATCAGTAATTTTGATAAAAAAATGATCTTGATTAACCTCTAAATGTTTGATTTGTTACAATGGTAGTTAAAAGTTTCGATGCCGAGACACAGTTTACACAGCACCATGCATTAAACACAGCATTGTGCCAACTCTCCTCTGCCACATTTATTCTGAGTAAGGGTTTTAATGTAAGTCAGACCCAAGATACTTATGGGTAGGTTTCCTCACATCTCTCTTTTATCTTTGTCTAGCATCTCCAATTACATGAACATCTTCCCCATGGATGTTGTTACTGGTGTCCTTTGTAAATTTCTCATTTTCATTATATGCACTGCCTATAGCTCCTAACTATGTAATAATCCTTTGGATTATAAAAGGCAGTATTCTACGTTCTTTCTCAGAGATGAGTTAACTCTCCTTTCACCTCCTTCTTCTGTGGTTTACAGTATTGGTACAGTAAATACAGGCTTTCATGAATTTAATTTGGTACCAACTTGCTGCTACATGGAGAGATCTCAAAGGTGGACATGTAGTCTAGAGCAAAGAAACATGATCAGCAAGATGTGTGACTATTTTTCTGAAAGATCAGCCTCTTGAGTGCCTTTGAACATGATGTATGCCCTCCTGACCCCAAGCTTTGCAACAGCCTGTGCAGGGAGTATTTAGGCTGTTGCACAACAAACTGAAAAGTTGGGTTTTAAGACCAGCCTCACTGATGCCCTCTGAGGTTACCGTGGGACTACAGGTCTGGTCCACTGTGGCAGTCAGGATTTAGGTTGATGGGATAGCATTTTACCCATGAACTCCAAAAAGCAAGGTGTTGTAGGGCACTGCTATGGTCTTAATTTCAGATGAAATGTTAAATTACCAAAATACAAAATCTGGCGAGTGCTGAATAGTCCCAGTATCAAAAAGAGAATCTTGTGAAAAAAAATATGAATGCTCTATGAAATTCCACACAGTGCAGCACAAGGGCTGTTTGCAACTGCTATACAAGGTAGGTGGGTAACAAAGAACATGAAAAAAATATGCTACAGCTTTGACTAGTCCAATTGTAACCCCCCCCAAATGCTACTTCCATTTTGTCCCCTGGGAGATGGGTGAGAGAGACATCACTCTGTATTTTCAGTGTACTCATTATATTGTACATAACCGAAGGTCCTGCATTTCATATACTATTTTCTCTTCCTTCCTGTCCTCTTCCCCACCCAAAATACCCTCTTAAACCACTCTTTTTTTCGTTCAAACAACAAGGCTAAACAGGTGAAATTTTAAATAATGATTGAGGATTTTTTTTATTCATTTAAGTTTCAATATCATTACAGAAAATGTTATGGTACAGAGTTGTTTAACATTAGTTTTATTTCTCTGCTCATTTAATTTCCACACGAATGCTGGTAACACCAATATCTGTACAAGATCAGTCTTTGATTTTTTTTTTTTAGTTTTTAGTTCTGTACATTTTTAAATGTATTGGTTAAAAAGGCTGTCAGCACTTAAGGAAGCAATTTTTTTGTTTGTTGAAATAAAAGGTATCCAGTTACTGCCCAAGAGTACTGAGCTGGGTGGCTGCTGGGACAAGAGAGATCCCTGAACGCGCAGCAAGGTGAGAAAACCTCGGGGCTTCATTGGGTTCCCAGTGCAGCCACTCTGCTTTTGGCACTGTGCACATCAACACGAGATACAAGATAAAGAACAAGCAGAAGCTCTCTGTGAAGCGGTTATGAAGCATACTAATAAGGGAAATCCAAGTGTTGTCTACACTAGTATAAATAAGCAGACAGCCTTGTTTTAAGAGCATAAGTAGTTGTATCTTAAAGATGAGAAAAAACACAAGTTCTGCAGGCACCTACTGCTGTCTACTAAAAGCTACCGCTATTAGAACTAGCATTGAACACACAAAGCAATTGCAAGGAAAGGAAAAAGTTGCTTTGATATAATCAGAATAAATTTCTTTGTTAAGATTTGTTTTAAAGTGTTTTTTTTTAAAAGGTATTTATTTAAATTCCATTTGAAATATAATTCAAGATGTTGACTATACTGATCAACTTTTATCCAAATCAGAAAAACTAGCTGTGCCGTTGCATATTACAGGATACAGTCAATGATATGTGGACATGCATCAAAGCTTCAATCTTGCTGGTGACATCATAGCCTTCCAATGACCATGACATCCACCACCTCCCCCTTGTGAAGCTCCACATACTGCTCTGTCTTTGGAGGTAGCATCAACAGTCCATTGGCACTGCGCATACTCATCAGACGACTGCTCATCTGATTCCCTACAGGAGAGCGAGATAAAATTTCAGTTAGGTTTTCAGTCAGTTTCAAATGCTGCAACACATCACGTGGAAAACAAAAATTGTTCTTACAAAGATGTTCAGTTTGCTAACATATTTGCAGAACTGGGATCTTGCCATTCTAACGTGGATGGAAACAGAGAACTCTAGAGAATCTGTCAGGCTCTCATCGCTCTGGCTCTCAAAACTCTCATTCCATTTAATGACTGTTTTCCTATCCAGTCTTCCACATTATCTGGACCTCATATCTTGTCATAGGAAATTGCTTTTCTGACTTTCTAATCCTATCAAAATTACTTTATTTCTCAATTCGTATACTTAATTCTGATAGTACAAAGACTAAAACAAACACAGTCCAGAATGTTTTAAATATCCATTTTTAGAGTAAGTTTGATTAACTCTTCTTTCTGAATAGTCTCGTTTAACATCAGTAGCTTAGCACTAGTAGCTGAAACAGTTGAAGTCTTAGGCTGCAAGAGCTGATGGAGAGCAAACTTTTTGATAAAGCTAATGCTGCTCACACAGGATGAAGCTGAATCTGGCAGATGTGAGCAGAATGAAGAAGGACCAAGGAAACAATTCCAAGAGAATGAGATAAGTTCAGCAGAAGGCCAGCCCAGCAACAAGAAACCCAGTAAGAAATCAAGAGATGACCAACCAGAACTAAGTGATTGGACCTGGGGATCAGATGCTGGGTGGTAGATGTTTAACTGCAGGGTGTGATCTGGGGTGGAGTTCGTTCTCCAGAGGTACCCAGCTCAAGCTGTTACCTGGGAACTAATAAAAGAGGAACCGGAAACCTTTGCTTGGACTTTGCATTTTTCAGTGGGATTCAAGGGTTGGATCCCATTATGGTGGATGCTGTGTAAAGCCATTACATATACCACCTTGAAAGAAAGGATTTCTGTGGGACATTGAACTTCACAGCATGTCCTGAAAATAAAAAGCAGCATACTGGCAGTACTGATAAAAAATGGAAGTGCAACAAAACTGTGCCCTTTAGCTTCTTGGTTTTCAAACGTTCAGATTGATGGAAAAATCATTCCAGACAGTTTGCTGGCATAAGGAAGAAAGTGGTGTCCAAAATAACAGAGTTAAACCAAACACAGCATCATAGATGTAAGCAATATAGCTTATACCTGGAAATATGTCAGAGGCTGTGTCATCTTGGAAGTCAATGATAAGAATTTTCTGAGTAAACAATAAGACGTATTTGAGCTAACATATTCCCTGTGTAGCCTTGTATAAAGTGCTTTGTATTGAAACATTCTGGAGGTAGCAAAAAGACAGTTGTTTAGGGACCTGAATATAGAGAAACTGGCAGAGTCAGTTGTCTAGCACTATACAGCTAAAAAAGTATTCAAAGATAGTATTTACCTCAGCTGCAGCTGAGTATCCAGAAGTACCCCTAGGTGAAAACCTGTCCAATAAACATCTTAGTCTGCTTTAAGAGAACATACGCAGCCTCTGCTATCACTTCTACATTTTCAGTTGAGCTAGAATCACACTTAATTTGTATTTTTCCAACCTGTGCCCCAAGTTGTGTTTGTTTACTACAAACATAAGAGAAAAAGTAAGCAAATATACCTGTGAGTGCAAGTAAGCATGGATGGATGTTTGTAAAAAGCAATGTGTGCACATGTTGTGTGTGTGTGTAAAGGTAGGCTATCCAGATAAAGGAAGTTTTAATGGTTAAGTTGGTCAGTCGTATAATGATTGAATTTTACACTAACATACATATATGCATGTACACATGTGTGTTGGCAAATCAGTCTGCATAGGGAAGGTTATATGAAAAAACACATGCACAGGTTTGGTTGTTTTTAGACATCTCTGCAGGAAGGCAAGGACCTGTGTGAGTGTGTCTGTCAGCCTGTGCAAATGGGCACTAACCTGTACTCTGTGCCCAAGGTAGTGGTTCTTGGTGATGCCAAGTCAGTATGCACCGATGATATTCTGGGCGGGGGTCCAATTTTACATCACATGATAACTGTAGGAGAAGCAGAGAAAGGATGAAAATGCCAGGCAATTCAGATTGCTTTGTCTGAGATAATGGAATCACCTGCTCAGTTGTTTTCCTTTAAACACAGCCTTTTTAAAACCTTGCATTTTGAGGGTCACTACAAATTGCTCTCTGTTCTAGAGTATTTTATCTGTGAGATTAAGAAAAATCTGGATGTCTGAGGAAGTGTGAAAGAGAGAAGTGGGATAAGCACTAAGAGAAAAGTGCAAAGCCAAGGACACTAGGTAAACTATAAAAGGTAATGTGTTCTTTGGTACTTTATTGGAATAAAAAATAGAAGAATAATAGATTATAATAATGTGTCTTGAATCTATAAACAGAGTTGAAATATCCATGATTTCTTGTAAGAGTGAAATGAATAGTTTAAGGGATTTATATTGCTCAGAGTGGGGGATCATTTGGGTAACCCACATATATAAATATTTGAGTTATATAAAAAAATAAAACCAGAAAGGCTTTACAATTTGTATTTTCTATAGGTAACACAGAACTATCCAACTAGTCAGGTTTTCCCAGATTACTCTGCATGTTTACCACAGGTTAAACAATTTTATTTTTTTTAAACAGGAAAGTGTCCTTCCTGCCTGATTGGCAAATGGCTGCCTCTGCATCTATCTATCTTGCTCCATTAGATGGCCATCTAACTCTTAGGAATTATGGGACTGAATATTACCATTAACAGAGATGGAGAATGTACCCGTTTTCCCCTTTAACTTGCCAGAATTAGTCTAGCGCTCAGATTCTCCAAACCAGACAGCCTTTCAGAGCACAAAGATTCTTCAGCATCTTGAGAGAATTTTTAAATAGAGGACAAGCTTCTTACCCTGGCTTTGATGATGGTGGGCCGAGGATCCAAGATACCCTGCATTTTCCTCAGTGCGGGAACAACAAAGAGATTGCAGGTGACAACAGCTGACACAGGGTTGCCTGTAGGACAAAGAACAGTGTGTGTGGTGACTCTCTCTAGATTTACTCTGTGAAACACTGAAAGTGATCTCAAGTTTTTACAGCAACTGCACTCTAAAGGACTAGAAAGAGATTCTCCTAGTATGTACAGGAAATGTTTCATTCAAAACTGGAGTGGCACGTGGCACATTCACTTTTTGGAAGTGACTCTCTGGTTGATGGTGTGCTGAAATCCTGCTCTGACCAGAACTGCCCCATGTTCTTCAGGCCCCACCGTTTACCTCTGTTCCTCTACTGCCTTTTGTCTTGCACCTACATTTGCCTGGAGCCGGGGCAGGATTTATTATGCAGAGCTATGGGTCCTAGCTGAGAGGGCTCTTGATTCAAGTTTCCAAGAACTATGGAAAAGCAACTTTCAGTTCCCTAGCAGAGTGGCAAAATGCTTCAGTTCAAATTCTGAGGAGAATTCTACTGATTTATAGATTTTCTGTTGCCTTACAAGAGGGGTGTATGACCAATGTCTGTCAAACACCACTTCTCTTACATATCTAGACTTCCCTAAAATAAATACAAAGATCCATTGGTCTGGAATAAAATGTACTGCAGTTAACTAAAACATGACAGAGAAAAAGCCCTAGAGATACACCTGAAAACCACCAGCTTATCAAGAACAGGATTCTTTGTGTAGTCAGAAATCCATGCAGAGCCAGAGCAACAAGAATAAAATAAATTTCTCCTGATTTAGGACGACAAAGATTTGTAGCCAGATCCTAAAGCAGATGTTTATTCTAAATGTGGTGCAGCATGCAGGAGGTGAAGTGACGCTGCTGCCCTCTTCTGGTTCCACGGTAAGATCATGATTAAAGAAAATATTCCCTCACATGTTCCTTGGCACTCCTCGGTTTTGTCTCCACTTTCAATACATCAGGGTGGATGCATTGTCTTAGACACACAGAATATTTACTGGGAAGGTGGAGGTAGCTGTTGAAAAACACAGCCCTGTATAGCACCATTTAAAAAAACCCAAGGAAAATGCTGAATGGAAGAAATAATAAGGCTTGTACACCAGCAAATTCTGAGGACAGGAATAAGAAGAAACTCCTTAGTATATCCCTGTAAGTCTGTCTCTTCTGGAAATTTCTGGGAAATGCCTTAGGGATGCCACCCTAGACACGGGAGGCATGAAATGTCACTGTACTGTTTCATGTCTGTCATCTATGCACAGCAACAAAAGTAATCCATGAAACATCCTACCTGGGAGCGCAAAGATTATTTTTCTTACGCCATCAATATCCAGAGTTGCAAAAGTTGTTGGCAGTCTATGGAAAAGGAAAGGTATTTAATATCTGCCCTAGAGTTTGACTGAACATTATTACGTTATTATTTAAAACATTAGGAAAAGTGCACTCTCAGGAGTGCTTTCTCTCTCAGCAGTTCATTTGTACTTGCTGTTTATTCCATACATAGTATAATCCTCTCTTTGTGATGACAGAACAATTAGCTCTTTTCAGTATTCAGCTGTGAGTAGATGATTTTGCTTCTGGTGATTTGCCACACTTCGACCATTACTACCTAGTTTTGTATCTGCTAGAACTAATCAATGTCCTGTTTTACAAGAGGAAGTTGTCTGAAGTTTATGTTTCAGATGTCCCTAATATACTGGATACTATGTGCCAGATCTCCAAATCTTATAACCAGTGCACAAACTGAGGTTCAAAAAAATCAAATTGCTAATTCCTCTTTACTGGAAAGTCTGAGTTCTCATATGAGATTTCAACACCATCACTGGTGAAGTCTTCCAGTACTTTCTTCTGGCAGAGCTGCTAGACAAGATAGAGCCTTACATTATTAGCTCAGCAAGTTTCAGATCAAGCAGAGGAAAGGTAAATCTCAGGCATCACTGCAGTTCTGTAGCACATCCAAACACAGGCATACAAAGCAAATTCTGGCTTCACTCTTGGAACTCACTCAAGGAAATCTTCCCCAACATAGTAATTGCAAATCATATCTAAGGGCTTTAAACACATAACGAATTAAAACTAAGACACAGTGTTTGCTATTGCATTACAGGCAATCAAAATGAGAGTGGTTACATTCTCAGTAAGATTAGATGGCTAAATGTTTTGGTAGCAGTAAGAAATATCTTTCTTGTACCATAAAATGAAAATTATTATTTGGGGAAAATAAGATTTCTTAAAGCTTTTTTGGCTAGTTATTAAAAGTTTATTGCTACAAGTCTACAGAGGTATCACCAGAATAAAGAATTATGTTTGCTTTCAGATAAGCCAGAAATTAACATTCTGAGTTCTCTAAATCAGGTTATCCGTTCTTGTCAGCAGCAAAGGCTGGAGTGCTGCTCTCACTTTTGGGACTTCCCCACAGCAGTATGATGGAGGCACTGAGCAATATCCATGCCTGGGGCACATCCAGCACAGGAAGAAACATGCTTTCAGTTAATTTGTTCCTTTTATTGAAGGGAAGTGGTGGTAGCAGCAGCACAAGCACCAAACTCATGTGTAGTTCTTTACTGGATTGTATGCAAACAAAAAATATTTGTCTTTTTTCACAGCAAACACCTACTTTTTCTGCTCCCTGGCAATGGTTATGGGCGACAGGGAATCATTCCTCAAAGCTGTACTTGGCCTCATGATACTGGACGGTGCCAACCTAACCTACAAACAAACTGCTCTGCATGGTTGCTGAGGCAGAGCTGTAGACATCCTTCTGCTACTGTACTGTGAAAGGGAAGTGTCTATTTTAAATACATGTAGTTTTCATTTTCTCTACAAAGCACACTTCTAGAGTCATTAATTAGCAGTGCTGCAGGAAAGGAAAGCAATGCTGAAGCAGTTTTCTGAGGCAAGCTAAAGACATAAAAGGACTGTGTTTACTTTAAAATTACTATGCTTGATATCCCAATTAAAGAACACTTTGTACATTAGCTGTCATTCCACCTCTCTCAAAAAATTTGTTTGTTTGTAGGAATATGACTTATGCACATTTTGAAGTGAAATGAGATGCCCATAACATAAACCAGCAGTTATATGTCCTTATATTTTCCCGTTATTTCATAACAGTATCAATATTTGAGCTTCATGATCACATGTGGCCATGTTTACATCATGCTGGTGTCCCCCCCCCCCCTTATTTACAATACTTATCAGAGAAATGTCTTACTGTCAAAAAGAAATCTCTCTGTTTCAGTTAATTTCACCCATAAAGATGATCACTGATCTCGATGGGACTGACTTAGCTTCTTTTTCCCATATATATTTACCATGTAGTTTATAGTATATTTGGAAAATTGAAATCTGCTGAAGCACTTACATAGGATATTGGTAATATATCATAACATAATATAATAAAATATATAGCCTCCATCTATGCTGCCTAAGTAGAAAGATTTCTTACCCTGGTTTCATAAAAACTCTGCCAAAGTGAATCTGTGCATGAAGATCAATATCCAGCACCTGTTTAAGATAGTCCTGTTTAAATTCAAAAAAGAAAATTGATTAAGTAACATCAAAGTGAATTATATCATCTAAGCATTCAAATCAATTAATTCATATCAAGTGAAGACGAAAGACTTCCCATATCCTGAAAGTGCTACAGTCCAGTGGGGAATTTCCAGTATATGAAAGAAAGTATTTTCAAAATGAAGAGGTGAACAACAGACTCATTTTAGGTCCCAAACCTTACTCCACGAGGACATAGTAATATATATATTTACTTAAAAGTCAGCTGCAGCATCAGAATATTAAAGGACCCCACAAATACCTACTACTAAACATTCTCTATGTCACAGATTGAAAAAAGCTTTTATGGTTCAAAGTTAAGACTTACAATCATCAAGATATTTAACTTTTGCCATGGAAGCTCTCTAGCAGCAGAGTCAGAGATCTCCTACTGCTCCTGAAATCAATACTTTACTGTAGAAATCATAGTTTTCCAGGATACTGTCATTATTGTAATTTCTTGGGGACATGGTACAATTCACAGTGGTCAGATTTAAAAGTCCTTAGAAAGGAAAAACTGTGGGTGGCTTGTGTGTTAGTTCAAGTGAAATGATTTTGCATAAACACAATTGATCCAGTTATTAAAACAAATTGAATTACTTTTTTAGTCTTTACTGAAAATGGCTGTGCTCAACAATGTAGTATCCTGTCTGTTGTGTTTAGTGAGATTAAAGAAAGAAGACATAACAGTCATCTTGTGAAAAGAAGCAGTAAATCTGAAGCTCCCAGTTTTCCCTTTTTTTTTTTTTTTTTTTTTTTTCTTTTCCCCCCCCTTCTGTGTGTTTGTTGAAATACTTGGAAAGCAGCAACTTTTTTCAGCCAGGCATGAATTCTCAATTATTGATTGTATTACCCTGATTTATTTTTTATTTACTTCTGGATGTTCACAGTTATTTAATTTAAACTGTTGAAAGCTCAGTATCAGAGGGTGAACCATCAGTGGAATACAGAGCCTATTGACTTCATGCTGTTGCCTCAAATTCAGACTGGGGAGAAATGAGCCAGAAGGTGTAAATGCCTGTAAAACCATTCAGCAGTCCAGTCACTTCCTAGTGTTCCTTTGTCTGCACTACATTGCCATGTTCCCAATTTAAAGACCAACACTTGTCCTTGATTATTTTTCTAGGCATATTGAGGACAATAATGGGATTGAAAGTAATTGGCATTGGTTTAACTAGTTATCCATTTTCATGATGTATCCAACAATATGATTTCTACTCAGAAAAGTGACAAAAACAGTGCTCGTGTTTGCCATCTCCTAATGACTGTTTTTAGCATCTGTTAGTTATAAAAGGAGAGATGTTTCTTTTACCTGCCAAACTCACAGATTCAGCATGGGATCAAAAAGTAATCTGAGTTTTCCTTCGCATAAGTCATGATTAATAAATGTCCTGCAGGTTCATCTACGCCCCACCAGCATCTGTGTATCCCTATTTTCTTTGATGGTTTTGGCACAGGGAATACCAACAGGAACTCAATCAACAATTCTGTTAATGATTCAAAAGGCAAATATATCAGCTCACTGTGTCTCATATGTATTGCCTCTGTAGGGCTATGAGGTGCAAAATGTGTTAAAACTATTTTTGAAATAGATACAGCTTTGGCATATTCAGGAAACATCTGCTGAGTAAGAAAGAGCTATTTATATATTCAGGTTGCCATTCAAAGTATCTTTATTCTATCTACATTTTACCTGTCCTAAAAATGAAGTCTGTCGCCTTCATGTGCTATTAACTAAGCAACTTGCTCACCATAACTACATAAATGCTTCCTTAAATAAAAGCACAATTGCAAATCACTCACATAAAGAATGAAATTCTTCCCTGTTGTACTTTGTCTACTATAGAACAGTAATAAGAACAAAGGGAATGATACCATTGATGACTATTTTCTTAATTAATTCACATTTAAGTGTTACCAAAAAAGTAAGATCCCTTTTCAATAACCATTTACACAAAGGTAGAAGCTCTGATGACAGACTCTGGCTTGAAATTCTTACATATAGCAAGTCATACTTAAATTTAGCATACCTTTTCCCCCATAGATACACCTCCTGATGTAATGATCACATCAGCACGGCTGATACCCTCATTTAGTGCATTCAGTAAATCATCTGGGCTACAGGAAAGAACAGGCAAGTAGATTAGTGGCACGGAACTACTACAAGTTACAGTGTAAGTCAGTGCATACAGATACATGCACACACACGTATTTTAAGAAAGACATAGAGCTCTAGGATAGTAATAGATCTTTCCCTTCCTAAGACTTCACACTGCTCTGTTCAAGTCAAGAACTGCAGTTTCATGAAGTGCATAGCACACTGTTTGGTGACACCTTTCTGTCTAAGAGCTTTGCAGTAGGAACAGTGGGATACTTTAGGTTGGGACGGAAGCACAGTAATACAAGTGTCTAGAAGTATGTAATTTGCATAGTAGGTAGCAATGCAAATTATGATTTGGACGAACTGACAAGACTAAACAAAGGAACCTGCCACATTAAAATCACTGGCTGCCAAGCAGGCTACAGTACTACCCTTCCAGCTTATCAGATGTGTGCAAAAATGCAGGTAAGGCTCCACTTCAAACTTCCATCAGTGAAAACTGGGAGTAAATCTTCTGGTGATCTTCTCCAGCAAAGCCAGCTGTACAACCACTTCATCTTGAAAAACACAATCCATCCCGTTCAAGTGTCTATTTACCTTAATGAGAAGCAGTGCAAGGGGAACTATGATATTCTTCCCTACAAAGAGGATAACTGTGAATGTGAAGGGCAGAAGCTGAGCATACTTCAGTTTTGGTGTCGTAAGGCTTTTCTATTTCTTTTTTTAGATCTAAACTGGAAACTTTGAAGTGGGCATTAGCTATCTAACAGCAGTACTGATGGTAACACAGAGCTGCAAGGAATGCAGTGGAGAAACTGCTAATACAACTTACACAAGACCAAAGGAATCCAAAAGAATTCCCAATATATGAAATGCATACTTTTTGTTTGACACTGTGAACTGAGCAGAAGCTGATCAATTGTGTAACTGTATTAATGTTCCTTCAACAGTATGTTTTTCCTTAATGATCTTGAAAGTTTTTTATCGGAGACTGTTCCTTCTTAGAATGCAACTGAAAGAAAGAGTGACTGTATAGAGCACTTAACCTGGAATACAGCACAAGTCTTCACTAGTTGTTGAAGGCAACTGGAAAGAAACAAATCTGTTGTTGGCTACAGTGTCTTCTTCAGAACCATTTTTTTCATTTGATTGCCTAAGCAGTAATCTGCATGTAGTAAGATATTGCTCAAGAGTTTTATAGAGTTTGTAATAGGATCAGATATAAGTATTATTTAATCCTTGCCAGTGAAGTTATAGATTGGAACACAGCAAGGAATACATACTCAATACACAGGCTGATACAGGACTTCCTGAAGCTTAATGGCAATCAGACACTCATGACACTATTACCAGAAATGTTTTCAGTATATTTTTCTCATTAGCTTATGATGCAGCTGAGGAACTTACCTGGAGCTTGCTCCAGGCTGTTTCATTTTATCTTGCTCAATTATTTAAAAGTTATTCATAAGTAGCAAGACCACCTGTCTGGGGACATCCTAATTCTGGATTATGGAGTATGCTTGCTTCTGCTTGTGTTTTGAGAATAACGGAACAGTTAAGAAGTTAAATAGAATGGAAATGCTCCTACTTACATACCAAATATATATATGTGTGTGCATATATACACAAAATTACTTAACAAAGGGAAAAGAAAAAACAATCCCAAACCCAAAATAAGCCCAAACCCAAACCAAGTGAGGACACAATTCAAAACTGTGTTTATGAAGATGGTATACTGCTAGAGTAGGTAATCAAACAGGTTTTTTTATTACATGTCTTGTAAAAAGTTGAAGATTACTGGACTTGGTGCACATTTTTAGTATTTACAGTAGAATGACCTGCATAATACATCCCTTTCTTTACTATCTGTATAATGCAAGACATCTAAAAACTCTAAAACTTAAACATTATCCAACCAATAGTACTGCATATTGTCTTCAGATATTTGCAAAATACATCAGATTCTTCCTAAATGAAAGGTGCTATAGAAATTTTATTGTAATAAACTGAATTAGTATGCTTGTTTGGTTTTATTCTGAAGAAAGGCAACATTTACAGAATTCTACCCCTTGTCTTTGCATAAGGCTTCTCTCTTTCTGCCCTATTTGGCATATTGCTTTTTGTCACTCAAGTCCATCTAACTTTCTGTCCTGCTTGAGGCTGGTAGTTCCATGACTCTGCAATTAACACAAAACACTCCTTGCAGGAGTCACATGCTGTAATCTTTGATCAACACTGTAGCAAACATTTTCCTTGTCTTTAGTGGATTTAATGCAAAGAGTTATCATTCGAATTGTATATTAACACATATCTGATATAATCAGATAACAAGATACTAACTACTTCTTGTTTCATTTGTTACGTAACAATGAGCAGCTTCTCCTTTGGAAAGGGAATACATAACTGAAGAATATTAACTTCTGCAAGAATAGACAAAATAACCCTGGCATTTGTGCGTAACAGGATACAGATTGATCTAAAAGGCCTGTGACAAATAACCACGAAGCTGAGAAATAACACTCACTGTCTGAGCAGGTACAAATCAGAAGCTATAGATTCTGAAGCCTGGGCCACTGCTAGGGGCAGAGTACTGGATTAGCTAGACTAATGGTCTAATTTACTATGATAAATCCTTTAAAATGTCTTGTGAAAGTGCTGTTCTTGAATTTTTTTTTCCTTCGTGGATAGAACTGTAACAGGTGATCAAATATAATAGCAGGTACCTAATGAATGTAAAGTAGATTTTGATGGGAAGTCTCATTTCCAGATGACAAAACCATTCTGTTTCATTTGGTGATTTTCAAAGTCAGAATGACACTGTGCACAAGAAGGGAGTGTGATTTTCTACCATGCTGCAAGTGATTAAAACCCCTGTACTTTGTATGTTTCAGATCACATCTCAGCATCTTCTGTAAATAGAACTAAGAAAATCCGTTATATAAGGACTACATAGAGAAACTACTCACATAGGTAATAAAACCTAAACCCAAACTTTTCTCAACAGTAGAAATCCCTCTCTACAGCAAATTGTGTCTGTACACATGTTGTACACATCTTTTTGAGGTGGCAGACGTAATGCTTTTCATAAAGAGTTAATGTACTTTAACATATATCTTTGAATTCTCTGCTAATTTTGCCAGTCTGATAAAGAGCATCTTACGTTACTACCTCTGCTTCCTGACCCTCTTTATACAGTTTTATGGAACAGAAGGAGCAGTACAATCTGGAAATTAATTGGAGGGTATCTGTTGTATTGTGGCAGCAGTATGCGTAGAATCCAGTAGGCAGATATTTGACATGGCAGTTGACTTGCCACCTGATTTAATTGAATTTGAAGAGAGGGCTTGCAGGATCGCAGTACACCAGAATAGGAACACCTTCTGGATTCATGACAAGTTCTGATTATCAAAGCTACTTTATGGAAAACTGTTATGCAGCACTTGATTACTTCTGACTGAGCTGTCTTTGAACCAAAAAGATACACAGGAGCTGAAGAGCTTGAACAAGAAAATTATGCAAGCCTCATTGAAATAGACATCAGCCACATAAGAGATTTTTTCCTTCATCTCCCTCAAAAGAAATAGCTACAGTACAGCCAAGACCAAATAATTCCCTATGTTTTGAGTGCCATTTGAAGTACTCTAAATTACAGCGCAATTTTCTCTTTCAAATAGAAATCAACATCTGTTAATTCACTTCTGTTGCTCCTATTGTTGTGCTTCACTGTCATTAATTATAAATCTGTCAGCTTTTTCTGTGATACAACCCTTAACACCAGCAGCTTGATACATGCAATTAAACCTCTCAGTTTTATAACTTAATTTAGAAAACAAATAACAACAAATAGTGATCTACATCACCTACCACTCTGCAGTAAAACAACTGATCCTTGTAAAATTGAATTGGAACATGTAGTTAGGACTGACTTAACAAGCCATTGTCACAGTACAAATTCCATAGTTCTTACTAATTTCCAGAACCATTTCCACCAAGTTCTTTGCCACAGTAGTCTCATTCATTCAAATTAACCTCATTACCTGACAGTAATTTCCAGTCCTTGCTGTTCATTGCCTTACACAGCTATTACTGTTGGGTGACTAACAGAAACACTTTTGATTGTTGTACTCTTCTATGCTTCAGTCTTAGCTTTTATATATCCAGGTATTCCGCAAACCATCACAGCACCTTAAACCTGCGCGCTTTACAGATCTATGGCACAGATACAGAAAGCTGTGCATGCACCATAAAGCACCAGATGCACGCAGAACTGAGTACAAAAGCAGAGCTGGGTAACCTTTCTTGCCTACTGTTTTATTTGATAGCATCTCAAGTATTTCAGTTATATGCTGAGATAATTATCCCTTCAGACATGAGTCCTCACAGATTCAGAGGAGCTGGACATCCATAAGTTGATGGGTCCGGATGGAATACACCCGTGGGTGCTGAGGGAGCTGGCAGAGGTCATTGCCAGGCCACTCTCCATCATCTTTGGTAAGTCTTGGGGAACAGGAGAGGTGCCTGAGGACTGGAGGATAGCAAATGTAATTCCAGTCTACAAGAAGGGCAAGAAGGAAGACCTGGGTAACTATATACCGGTCAGTCTCACCTCCACCCCTGGAAAGGTGATGGAACAACTTGTTCTTGGCACTACCTCTAGGCATGTCAAGAATGAGGGGGTCATTAAGAACAGTCAACATGGTTTTATCAAGGGAAAGTCATGTTTGACCAACCTTATAGCCTTCTATGAGGAAGTAACTAGGTGGACAGATGACGGTAGGGTGGTAGATGTGTTTTTTCTTGATTTCAGTAAAGCATTTGACACTGTCTCCCACAGTGTCCTTGTAGATAAACTGAAGAAGTGTGGTCTTGAGGGTGAGGTAGTGAGGTAGATCATGAACTGGTTGAAAGGAAGAAGTCAGAGAGTTGTGGACAATGAAACAAAATGTAGTTGGATATCTGTGACTAGTGGAGTCCCTCAGGGGTCGGTACTGGGACCGGTGTTGTTCAATGCCTTCAT